CCTTTAAAACGCCTTTTCATTCATCCCGATACGACTTCCGGTTCTCGAGATATCGTCGTGTAAAGCAAAGGATGATTTTTAATCGTTTACCTGAAATCTAATTAAACGGTATTAAAATTAGGAAAACTTTGAATCGCTATAACTCCGAAGATAATTACTTCCGGTCAACCAATGAGCGATCATTCGAAGCGCGGAACCTTCCTCTTTAAAATGCTTTTTCATTTATCCCGATACGACTTCCGGTTCCCGAGATATCGTCGTGTAAAGACAAAGGTAATTTTTAATCGTTTACTATTCCCATCCTTGTCGCTTATTCGGACCTCTCGCTCGCACCTCGTTTCGCTGACCTATCCCAAATTGCAGACAAGCGACAGACGCGATTCCTGGAAAAACGTAGTACGCGTTTCCAAGAAATAATGTAGGTCACTGGGTCGCGAGCCCATTCATAATTTGCAATGCGCTGTCTCCACCGCTATGTAAACTTTGAATCCTTATATCTCGGTAACGGATTGAGATATCGGGATAAAACAAAAAGCAATTTCAATGGCACAGTATCCTCTATCTTTTGAATGGGTTTTGATGACAAAATTTTTAGTTTCTTTCTACGTTTTTTGTGTGAAAAGTCGAAGCATGCAACAGTTTGTTATCGTGATATAAAATATATAAGGACGTAATGTAGCATATTTTACATAAATGATGTATGATAGTTAAATATTTGAACAGTTGCATGAAAATTTAATGTCTACAAATTCTTCGTTAAATCTAGACTCTTCACTTTTTTTGCTTTTGTATGCCTTTTGATCGTTTCTCCTGTATATCAGGAACGATTGCTTGCTTTTTACTATCACCTTTAATACAAAGTTAAAGAGCCAAGTCGGAATAATGCAATTTTAAACGCGTTGCAAACGCTCGAAAAATATTTCACGCGAAAGGTTAAACGAGAATTTGTGAACGCGAACGGTGTAACGATGCAAGAGAAATGCTCGTTAATTGGGAATGGGAATAGATTGTGGTAACATGGTGCACCACGTGTTAATAGCAGTATCAAAGTTGATCTTCTTAGTTTACTGTGAAGTGGAAAATAAAACAAGTGGATCGTTCATATTACTATTTCTATCGATTAATATATTTCAAGGTAGAAAATTTCTCGTGCATATATTTCATTCTTTTTTCGTTTAAACGAAAATTTCGTGATTAATGTAAATTAATTAATATCTGCAATAGAAAAATACTTATAAAATATAAAATATAAAATATTCTCGTTTAACACGATACCTTTGATTTAACTCGATTCTTTCTTTCCACTTTTAATTAATATTGTGGGATCATTGGAGGAAAATTAAACTAATATGAATGATAATCTATATTATTTAATAATACAGTAATCTGCCTAATTTAATTACTATTATTTTCTAATGAATAAAAAATTTTCTGTATCAATTAAAAAAAAATCACATGTTTTTGACAATTTATCGTAACACGATATTGGATTTTGCTTCTTGCAGCAGAATTTTAGCTAATATTCCGTTAATTGAACCTGTGTTTAATCCACTTATCCGAACGCGAATTCCCATCATTTTGATTAGTAACTATTAAAGGGAATTAACGCGAAGTTTAAGGGAAGTATTAGCGAAGTTCCACTACAGGAAATGCATTTACATATACGCCTGTTTAATTTAAATCTCATGGATTATCCATATGCGATTGTATTTTGAAATTTCTAAACGTATACACATCGTATCACAAAATATTCAATCAAATATTATAAGAATAAAATCTCGAATCTTTATCGTCGCTATATACAATTTAACGATGCAATTTGATATTTCCAAAGAAATATAATTCTAAGATTAATCTGCTTCCTAAAAAAAAAAAAAAAAAAAAAAAAA